CGTTATCGATCCCGGGGACGTTCCGCTGATTGACCTTCAGAAGCAGAAGAGAATGAAGCTCCAGAGCTCACCTTCAGCACACTCACCTCACCTGATCATCATCATCATCACGCTCACACATCTCCTACCTCCTCTCTGCGTTTCTGCCAGCGCCCACACGGGCTTTCCTCCAGGATCTCTGACTCATCTTCACTCTCCTCTTCCTCGTCCTCTGTGGCTGCGGTCGCTGGAGGCTGGGTCACCATGGATACCGGAGGAGATACAGATGACACTCCTTGACCTGTGGGGGGAGCAGCTGCCGCGGACTCCTGCTTCACGTCCTGGACGGGGTCTGGGGTCTGCTTGTTCTCTCCCTCTGACATCCTCTTAGTTATCAGGCCCAACAGCCGGCTGTGAGACACAGACCCAGACCCAAACCCAGAATCAGAGTCAGAACCGGACTTCACCTGCAGAAACCCCACAGTGACCTCACTGAGCCGGACTACAGCGGGAAACTCGGAGTAACCCGGGATTTACACCGCATCCAGAACGGCGGCGGTTTTCACTGTCCGCCAACTCTACCGGGTCTGTGAGTGAGGCCAATTTCACAGCGGATTACGGACAGCGGCAAGAACTGACGAGAACCCGCAGATTCACGTTCAATAACGCGATAACAAGTTGTCTCTCTAAAGACAGACACATAGACATATAAGCAGTAGATTGTGTCCTTCCAGAGGAGGAAATCTACTTCTAGACTTCTAGAATCAGCATCTCCTCAGGATGAGGTGGAAGTTGGAAATCGACAATATCGTCGAATCGCAAGTTAAACTAAATCGGCATCCATAAAACCGTAGAAGAATCGTATCGGGAGAAAAGCGTATCGTCCCAGCCCGACCAATGAGGGTCTCTACTGAGGGTCTCTGCAGGACTAAACGGGGTTCCAGGTGAGAACACGTCCAGGTGAACATACCTGGTGAAGACGGGAAAAGGACTCTGTCAGCTCCAGTTTCACGGACTCCCACCGCTGCCGATCCCGGACTGTTGGTTCTGGGGGGTCCAGTTAGCTTCGGTCCCGTCAGACTGAGACACTGAAGACAGCAGCAGGAACTACCGGACCGAGTCTCACGAGCTTCACGGACGTGGATTTTTACACGTTTGTCACCTGCTGGCCGGCTAACAGGCTAGCTTTAGCTTTAGCTTTAGCCGCCCCTCACGGCTCCAGCTCAGGAAGGATCCAGTTCTGCTAATGTGGGTCCGTCCAGGACTCGGTTCGACCACGGTGTGAGAAACGTTTACGGACTAATACCATCAGAACCGAACCCTGAGGAGGATAAAGATGTGTGTGTTTATCCTCGAAGACTCTCCGGGTTAGCTTCACTGTTAGCTTCACTGTTAGCGGAGAGACGATGGCGACAACTTCAGATACTGCACACGAGCGTGCACGTCAGAGCGCGGCCGGGTTGCCAGATACAGTTTGTCCCATCCCCCCTCTGCGTCCTTCTCATGGCAGAAAACAGAAAATCAATCAGTTAATCAATCAAACTTTATTTTTAAAGCACTTTTCACAGAATGAATCACAAAGTGATGTCCATTCGCTCAGGATATTAAAAAACAATAAAATAAAAAAAATATAAAAACTCACTTTTACAGACTTGATTTGATCTTTTTCTCTTATTTCAGTTTTACTGTCTTTTATTTTTGTTAAACTTTTACTCTTTTCTTTTTTAACCTTTTAGGTCTTTTATTGTTTTATCTCTCGCTCATTTCTGTTCCTCTATTTTATCTTTACTGTTATTATCAGTATTACCTGTTATTATTTTATTATCATTGTTGATATCCTCTTTAGTGCAAACGACTGTAATAATACCCGGGGACAAAGAGTATGCACTGACCGGCCACAACATTAGGGACACCTGGGCAATCTAATGCAACCCACTAGCCTTTCATTATTTCATTATAACCTTTATTTAACCAAGTCTGTCCCATTGAGGTGTAACAGCACTACCTTAAAGTCTATGTCCAGGTAGTTTCTAAATTTCTTGTTATCGTCGACATGATTAGGTGGTTATCGTGCTTCTGTTGGCTGTCCCAGCAGTAAATCATAGTCTTGTTTGTCACCATACCCTACTGTACCATTGTATAATGAAGCATGGATCTCAGAGTCCCGAGTCTACTGTCACTTCTTTACCTCTAATTTATTATGAATTTATAAAAGAAATTCTCCTGGGCAATAAGATCCTGCATAGTTCCTCGTGCCTTAGTCTTTATTTTACGTTGTTGTTGTTGAATGTATTAAATAATCGAACCGTCTGTTTAAGCCGAGACCTTTCAAAGGCAGTCAGAATCGTAAATGTTCAAATATTGAGAATTTTACACACATAGTAAAAAATAAAGTAAATAAGTGCTGCTCGTGTCTGAAGATGTCTAAATCTGCTGCTTTTGTGGGTTTTCTGGTCTGCAGGGACCGGTACCAAAAGTGGTCAGAGGAAAGAAAACTCCATGCTACGACATACTTGCTTGTTTCCCTCAAACCTGGCAACCCGACACTAACCCGATTCTCTTTTCTTACTTGATTCTGGAGCAGAGTGACAGACCCACAAACCAACAGAAAACTGAACCATGGTGTCTCAGCGAACCAGCAGACCAGTGAAAAGAAAATCAACGTCAAGAGCTTCGCTTTACCACCAGGTGTCGCTGTAACCGCTCTTTAATAATACTGCAGACTTGAAGCAGCCAGTATCTGCTCAGTCATGGGGGGTGCTGCCTTCTGTCTTTGGTAAGAACATTAATCTGATATCATGTTATAGACACCAGGGTCTCATGAACATCTGAAACCACCACCCTGATCTACACCTGGTGAGTGTCACATCCTCCTCACAGTCTTCAGGTTTTAGTTCCTGTCAAAGTGCAGTGACTGGGTCAGGGTTTCACTTTGAGACCACCCCCCCACTTCAGCAGGGCCTATATTTAGGTCCATCCAGCCCCGGGTTCTCGACAGTGACTGTGGGAGTGCTGCTGTGAGGAGCTCTTGGTTTCTCTGTGACTCTATTTTCCAGTAAATACAGGAACTCGCAGTGATTACCAGAGTCAGGAAGTTTCTGGACTCTTTTGCAAGTTCATGCTGCTTCTGCAAAAAAGGAGGGACTCCTGAGCGTCGTTTCTCACTCCGTAAGTGACTCTGAAGAAGGACTACCGAAGGCTGAGGGATCCCTGAGAAAATGGGGGATGAAGGTGGCGAGCTTGTTGTTGAAGAGACGAAGGTGAAGGTGCTCCTGGAAACAGAGGCGTCACTCGGGCCTGATGATAAAAAAGACTATCCTCCTGCTGGGAGTAACTCCATCTACTCTGCCATTCTGAGCAGGAATGAGGCTGTGAAGGACGCCAGACGTCTCAAGACCTTTTTGGAACTGCGAGACAAATATGTGAGGAAGAAGGTGGTGTTTGAAGACCCTCTGTTTCCTGCCAATGACTCCTCACTCTTCTACAGCCACAAACCCTCCATGAAGATCGAGTGGAAGCGCCCCTCGGTGAGTGTAAATGATGGTCATCCTTTAGGTCTCTGAAAGTCCTCTTCTCTCCAACCACAACATGTTCATGGATGCAGAGCTCAGAGTTATCACCTTCTACCATCACAGACAGATCTCTCTCTCTCTCTCTCTCTCTCTCTCTCTCTCTCTCTCTCAGCCTTCAAGTCCTCCTCCTGAGGACCAAAGAAAGTCTTTAAAACCATGAAACCATGTTTTCAAACCCTTTGTCAGACCATCATCATCATCTGCTGAGAGAAGAACAGCTGATGTTTGTTTACTTTACCTGCTGATCGAAGGCGTACAAATATTCTTCTCTGATAAATTAATGAACTTTAAATAAAGACACTAAATAAAAAGGACCAGTCCGCGAATTTTGATCCAAGCAGCAGGTTAACTGAGGGTAAACACGGAGGAATAAAGTTAGCTCTGAGGTCAGACAAGTTAACACCTGTCAACTGGTCAGATTTATGGGTCTGACTGGTCAGATTTATCCCTCTAATGTCTAACTGGTGAGTTTTATTATATTCACCCTTTAATAAAGACCTTTCTGAAGAGCGTCTGATTGAACCAAAGAGACTCCGTTTATGTTTGAATGTATTCTGAGTCTATTTTTGCACGTCTCCATGTGGAGCACATGAGTATGAAAAGAGTAAACACGGCAGTTAAAGTGTTGGAGAGAAGAAGAAATTAAAAGATATCGAATTACAGCAGATGGTTGGTATCAGGGGAAAACAGACAGTCCACAGATCAACAAGTGACACGATACACCAGAGTCCATAAAGTGAACTCTGATCCGGTCCACAGAAGTGAGACGATATACTAGAGTCCACATAGTGAACTCTGATCCAGTCCATGAGATCCTGAAGAAAGAACTCATCAGGAGTGAGGCTCTACTGCCCTTCATCAAGAAAACAAGCGTGAACAACAACGACAACAACAATAACAATGACAACGACAATGACAACAACAACAACAACAACAGCGAAAAAAACAACAAGGACAAGAACAACAGCAACAACAAAATTAACAAAAACAGCAACAACTCTAACAACAACAACGGAAACAACAATAACAACAAGGACAACGACAAAGACAATGACAATAATAACAACAACAACTGCAACAACAAAATTAACAAAAACAGCAACAACACTAACAAAACCAACAACAACAAAAATGACAACACCAAAAACATACAACAACAACAACAACAACAACACAACATTAACAACAACAAAATTCACAATAACACCACCACCACCACAGTGGAGCTCCATGAGCGCTCAGTCCCAGCTCTCCACTGTCTCCTTTGGATCCAGAGTGGTTTTATTGGGTCCAGTTGGACTAAAGCGAAGCTGGTCATTGAATGGGTCAAGTCCAGGGTAATAAGATCTCTTCTTCATGTCTGATGGTAAATGAGACGTCAGACATTCAGCTGAGACGAATGATTCCTCAGCGGGGTCAGCAGGAGAGCTTGAGCTAAATCGGGAACATGAGTCTGCCCTTTAACAACCTCAGTTATCGTCCATCAGACGATGAGAGGAACAGAATCAGAGCTCCGAGTCTGCGGGGAGAAAATCAAGACGTCCGACTTCTAGATGATCAATAAGGTGTTTTTTTTCTCTCTTATACTGTGAATTATCGAAAACCTTTGGGCATCTGTGTCACATATAAACAAAACGACATTATCACTGAAGATCAGGAAATATGAACGTTATGACCATATTAGGAACAGGTTCCTGACCATGTGACCTGGACCAGCAGCCTTCTCATAAACACGTCCGGCTCTGACAGCTTCAGGTTCAGGGTCAGGAACCTCTCAGTGTTAGTTCAGGCAGGTTATTTTTCTAGTGATACTCAAATGTTGACCGACAGCGAAATAACACCCGACTCTGAGGTATGTGAGGGTTTTACAACAGAGGGGATAAATTATTATAGAGGCGGAAAGTGATGCAACACCAGCAAAAGTAGGGGAGACTGGGGTTGGTTTGACATGTCGAATCTACAGACAGACATTTCTCCCTAACATGTCCACTTCTGCTCTGACAGGAGATCTGCGAACAGCCAGAGTTCATCATCGATGGAGCCAACAGGACAGACATCTGTCAGGGAGAGCTGGGTAACTGTCAGACCGTTTCCTGACCAAAAATCTGCAGAACGCCACATCTCCAACCCGTGATGGTCAAACAGTGTAAATAATAAAAACAGGCTTTGAATGGTTTACAGCAGGGGTGTCAAAGTCAAATGGACGGAGGGCCAAATAAAAAATTTAGCTACAAGCCGAGGGCCGGACTGATCGAATGTTCATTGAACATTTTTTAAATGACGCATATAGTCTAGTGAACCTAACTGAACCTACTGAAAACCTAACAAATATATTCCAATATGATCAGATAAATAAAGCAATATTTTCTTATGGCTCTGTCAGTAATCTTTAATTTTCAACAGACACAAAAGACAAATTTCCTTTATATAAAAATCCCCATAACATGAACATTAAATGAAAGAAACCGGTATTATTCAAGGCACCATCAGTAGCCTATATTTTCTATTTTAGCAAAAGTGGGCTAAATTTACTTCAAAGAAAAAAATAATAATAGCAATTTTCTATCATCCACTCAACTGAAATATTTTTTTTGTTCCATGTCCATATTCTTGTTTTTGTCCGCGTGTTTCGTTTCATAATGTCGTCTCAGATTATACTCTTTCAGTACCGCCACACTTTCTCCACACAGAAGACACACAGGTTTTCCAGCTACCTCCGTGAACATATACTCCGACTCCCACCTTGTTTGAAACCCCCGGTTCTCAGTGTCCACCTTCCGTTTTGCCATTTTTGATGGGTATCTGAAAGTTAATTTTACTGTTATGCTGACGACTGCTGTGCTAATAAATATTGAAATGAAGCAGCCTACTGCTCGGTGCGTCACCGTTGCATTGTGGGAAATGTAGTATTGGTGCGTGTAAAAGATCTGCGGGCTGCCGGCTTGCTGCGGTCTGCGGGCCGGTTCTAATAATAAATCAAGATCATCCCAGGGGCCGTAAAAAACCTTCTCGCGGGCCGGATGTGGACCGCGGGCCTTGACTCTGACATATGTGGTTTACAGGGTCTCTTTATCAAACCCTGTTAAGACTCAGGAAGGACCTGAACTGACTGTTTTTAGACCTGAACCGACTGTTTTCAGACCTGAACCGACTGTTTTTAGACCTGAACCGACTGTTTTTAGACCTGGTCTGACTGTTTTTAGACCTGATCTGACTGTTTTTAGACCTGAACTGTTTTTAGACCTGAACCGACTGTTTTCAGACCTGAACTGACTGTTTTTAGACCTGAACCGACTGTTTTTAGACCTGAACCGACTGTTTTTAGACCTGGTCTGACTGTTTTTAGACCTGAACCGACTGTTTTTAGACCTGGTCTGACTGTTTTTAGACCTGAACCGACTGTTTTTAGACCTGAACCGACTGTTTTTAGACCTAAACCGACTGTTTTTAGACCTGAACCGACTGTTTTTAGACCTGAACTGACTGTTTTTAGACCTGGTCTGACTGTTTTTAGACCTGGTCTGACTGTTTTTAGACCTGAACCGACTGTTTTTAGACCTGAACCGACTGTTTTTAGACCTGATCTGACTGTTTTTAGACCTGAACCGACTGTTTTTAGACCTGAACTGACTGTTTTTAGACCTGATCTGACTGTTTTTAGACCTGAACCGACTGTTTTTAGACCTGAACTGACTGTTTTTAGACCTGAACTGACTGTTTTTAGACCTGGTCTGACTGTTTTCAGACCTGGTCTGACTGTTTTTAGACCTGAACCGACTGTTTTTAGACCTGAACCGACTGTTTTTAGACCTGATCTGACTGTTTTTAGACCTGAACCGACTGTTTTTAGACCTGAACTGTTTTTAGACCTGAACTGACTGTTTTTAGACCTGAACTGACTGTTTTTAGACCTGAACTGACTGTTTTTAGACCTGAACCGACTGTTTTTAGACCTGGTCTGACTGTTTTTAGACCTGAACCGACTGTTTTTAGACCTGATCTGACTGTTTTTAGACCTTAACCGACTGTTTTTAAACCTGATCTGACTGTTTTTAGACCTTAACCGACTGTTTTTAGACCTGAACCGACTGTTTTTAGACCTGATCTGACTGTTTTTAGACCTTAACCGACTGTTTTTAGACCTGAACTGACTGTTTTTAGACCTGATCTGACTGTTTTTAGACCTTAACCGACTGTTTTTAAACCTGATCTGACTGTTTTTAGACCTTAACCGACTGTTTTTAGACCTGAACCGACTGTTTTTAGACCTGAACTGACTGTTTTCAGACCTGGTCTGACTGTTTTTAGACCTGGTCTGACTGTTTTCAGACCTGAACTGACTGTTTTCAGACCTGATCTGACTGTTTTCAGACCTGGTCTGACTGTTTTCAGACCTGATCTGACTGTTTTTAGACCTGAACTGACTGTTTTTAGACCTGGTCTGACTGTTTTCAGACCTGAACCGACTGTTTTCAGACCTGAACTGACTGTTTTCAGACCTGATCTGACTGTTTTTAGACCTGGTCTGACTGTTTTTAGACCTGGTCTGACTGTTTTTAGACCTGAACTGACTGTTTTTAGACCTGAACTGACTGTTTTTAGACCTGAACTGACTGTTTTTAGACCTGGTCTGACTGTTTTCAGACCTGAACCGACTGTTTTCAGACCTGAACTGACTGTTTTCAGACCTGATCTGACTGTTTTCAGACCTGGTCTGACTGTTTTCAGACCTGGTCTGACTGTTTTCAGACCTGATCTGACTGTTTTCAAACCTGATCTGACTGTTTTTAGACCTGAACTGTTTTCAGACCTGAACTGTTTTTAGACCTGAACCGACTGTTTTCAGACCTGATCTGACTGTTTTTAGACCTGAACCGACTGTTTTCAGACCTGATCTGACTGTTTTTAGACCTGATCTGACTGTTTTTAGACCTGGTCTGACTGTTTTTAGACCTGGTCTGACTGTTTTCAGACCTGGTCTGACTGTTTTTAGACCTGAACTGTTTTTAGACCTGGTCTGACTGTTTTCAGACCTGATCTGACTGTTTTCAGACCTGATCTGACTGTTTTTAGACCTGATCTGACTGTTTTTAGACCTGGTCTGACTGTTTTTAGACCTGGTCTGACTGTTTTCAGACCTGGTCTGACTGTTTTTAGACCTGAACCGACTGTTTTTAGACCTGATCTGACTGTTTTTAGACCTGAACCGACTGTTTTCAGACCTGAACTGACTGTTTTTAGACCCGATATGACTGTTTTCAGACCTGAACCGACTGTTTTCAGACCTGAACCGACTGTTTTTAGACCTGATCTGACTGTTTTTAGACCTGAACCGACTGTTTTTAGACCTGGTCTGACTGTTTTCAGACCTGATCTGACTGTTTTTAGACCTGAACTGACTGTTTTTAGACCTGGTCTGACTGTTTTCAGACCTGATGACTGTTTTTAGACCTGATGACTGTTTTTAGACCTGAACCGACTGTTTTTAGACCTGATCTGACTGTTTTTAGACCTGGTCTGACTCAGTACAGACTTGAATGAAGCTGTCTAACTATCGTTGACTTGAGGAGGTGATCCAGTAAGGCCGTGTAAACCAGAGCCAAGAACAGCTGCTATGACCATTAGGATCAGCCTGGAGCTTGTCACCCTGTTCTGCTGACCTGCGAGGGTTCGACGACTTAAATCGACGACACCTCTGAGGGTTTATGAAGCGCTGAGCTGAGATTAAGTGTTTCATAGCTCATCAATCTGCTGTTGACAGGTGACTGCTGGCTGCTGGCCGCCATCGCCTGTCTGACGGTGAATGAAAAGCTGCTGTACAGAGTCATTCCTCCGGACCAGAGCTTCACCCAGAACTATGCCGGCATCTTCCACTTCCAGGTCTGTGAACAAACCCTGAACATGTCTGGAAAAACGTTCATCATCTTATCCGTCTGACGTGAAAACAGCTCAGAGCTTTATTATAGATCAAGACAACTACCCTCATTCATTCATTCATTCATTCATTCATTCATTCATTCATTCATTCATTCATTCGTCCAAACTCTCACAGTGCTTCTTTATTCTTTATCCTGAACTCTCTGAAATATTCACAGAAACTTCCTCACTGGAGCTTTAATCTGCTCGTTTCTCCCTCACTCAGTTCTGGCGTTACGGCGAGTGGATTGATGTGATCGTGGACGACCGCATCCCGACCGTCAACAACCAGCTGGTTTTCACCAAATCCTTCAGGAAGAACGAGTTCTGGAGCGCTCTCCTGGAGAAAGCTTACGCCAAGTAAGAAGATGATGACTGACGGGAGAGTTAGTTCAGGCAGGCCGACCCGTGTGGACCTGTGTCACTCAGTCCGTTTCCATGACACTCGAGAAAACCGACTTATCGCCTTATTCCGATTAAGACCGGACAACTGAAGGTCATGTAAACACCTTAGTCTGATTAAGACACCCGGA